CTGTCTTTTAAATTCTCAAACTTTACTTCTACCTCATTTTCTCTTTTCCTCTCTCTCACCATCTCTCTCTTTTTCTGTTCCTCTCTCTCTGTCTTTTCCTTCTCCTTTGCTTTCAATTCTCTCTCATAATTTCTTTCCTTCTTTTTTTCATCCTCATTCCTTCTTACCCCATTATTTCATGGTGACTATTTCTTCATGCCTCTCTTTTGTCTGTACAAAAGTTTGCCTTACTGCATATTGTAGAAAATCGCTATTACACAATATAAATGTTCATATGATACAGGCAGCCAGTGTCCCAACAATGCCCACTTTCCGGGCAAGTCTGTAGTATCTATGATATGAAGGTTAGTACTGCTGTATTGTTAGCAATGGCCCCATTAACGCATCTTTACCTAGCTAAATGGAGAATACAGAGCCTGTGGAGGGTGACTTCATGACTGCCTACACTGTGAATGTGACGAGACTGACCAAGCAAAGTAACTCTCTTAGTGTCTCCTGAACAGCTGCAACGCCTTCCCATTCTAGATGTCACAGGGCAGGTGAGGAGAGGGCTGAGAGGATGGAAACAACATTGAAATAACAATGGTTCTACTCACAAGTTGAGAGATCAGGAGAGCACTGCAGTACAGCAGAACGGTCTGTGCTGGGGCTCTGGGCACCAGACCGCTGTCATGTGCCAAGCATGGCAGGAGGTTGAAAACACCGCTGGAATGCTTCACTCTGACTTGACCAGTCTCCCACTGATGTCACCATTGGAGTCTGCATAATACTAGATGGCCACATCCTCACCCACTCATCCAGCAAGGAGGAGGCTGGCTCCTACTGGGGGATGTTCTTTTGGTCCTCCACCAGAGAGCTGGAGCTAATGAAAGTTACTGCTGGGGAGGGGGAGAGGATTCATCCCGATCTCTGTCTGTCCATATGATCGCAGCAGCAAAAGAAGCAAATCAATGTGCCCCACTATACAGACAGCAATGTTGAAATGCCTCAATTACAGTGCAGTTCTGGCGGGCAATGATACAGAAAAAGGCCAGTGTCTGTGAGCGGGTCTGAATTCCAGGATATGGACATGCCGTGACATTTTATTAAAATCCGTGAGTGTCCCAGATTATCCATGACTGTTGGCAACTATGATAAAGCAAATATTGCTGTCAGAATCTCTGCCATCCACTAACAGACTAAAGCCAGTCCGGACGTTACGCGCGTCATCAGTGATGCGAACAGGGGACCAGGCGAGGTGTAGATAACTCAACATGTTAGCCGGTGGTGGAGATTCTGACAGCAATACTTGCTTTATGATATTCTGCATTATTGATGTTCATTGACCGTCTGCAAGTAGGTTTTAATTAGATTATGACAACATTTTATAGTATTTTACAGTATTGCACAGAGTTTCTTCTTTTGTTGATACTGGATGTCTGGTGGATCCCTTAACGGAGAAGATAGGCTGGAAGTGTGACATCATAGGAAAATTGGGAACAATATCCTAGGAAAAGCCTTATATGCCATTTTATTAGAGGCGTAAATGTTCAGTGAGTGCCATTGAGTGTTGGGAAGTGGTTGATCATGAATCACGTGGTGAATTGCATGAAGAACTGACATTGATTGGGGACAGGTAACATCTGTGTGAAGCACAGGAATCTCTGTTTCACGGGTGCTGTGGACAATTCGGTGTGATTTATTTTCATTTTGTTTTTGTTAATATTTTTGATATGATCATCTATTATGGAAGGGGAAGTGAAATCCCTGCGGCATCTCAGATCTGTAATTCATTGTGGATGTGGTTTATTGTATTTATATTTTATATGATAAGGTGACAGCAGTGGAAATACTTGGGGAAAATAATTTTTGTTTGAGATATTTGTTTATAATACTAATACAGTTTGCATGCTGATTTGTAGATAGAGGAGTAATGTGAAATACATTTGTCCTCACTTATTCCATCCTTCCATCTGTGTAACCTGTCTGTGGTCACACGCTTACCTCCTCACAGACGATGCAGGACTAATAGCCCTGCATTGTATTTTATAATGGAGATGATGCACCCATATTCTGGACCGGAGGATAGAAGAAGAGAACTCAAGAGTCTGCCAGAACGAGGGGAAATTTAAATAATACAGCCTCTTACTCTATCCCTCAAAGTTAACCTTTTCAATGTGGGGGGCTCCACTGCAAAGGTTTTTATTCCATCCCAGAGATGATTTTTGATGAATGATGAATTGCTGTCATATGCTGTTGGCACTTTCAGGTTAAAGCTGAACTCCGGGATAAGCAAATATTGTCCAAATACAAGAGGGGGTGTGTATTCTTATTTGAATCTTGGGGGGACATTTACTAAAATTGAGGCACTCAAAATCTGGTGCATGGTAGCCAGTCAGCTTCTAATTTCAGCTTGTACAACTAAGCTTTGACAATAAATCTGGAAATTGTTTGGTTTCTATCCAGAGCTGCACCAGATTTTGCACTCTCCACTTTTAGTAAATATCCTCCTTGGTGTTCTTTGTGTATTTCTTGTAAATCTGTGCAGTGATCCAAAACACGAACTATGATGTGTATTAATGATGTATCATAGTACACGTACCAGCTCATGCGCATTATGTGCACACTAAAGCATGCCTAGTGGTGTGAATAAGCCCTTACAGTTTTGTGTTGGAGTTCCCACTTCCTCTCTTTTGAACTAGCTGCTATACATAGGTTCAGGTTGTTATGACTGTTTTTAGGACTACCTCTTCCTTTTATGATGAATATTTTATATTATTCGATATTGTGCTTGTAGATACATCTTATTTGATTCACACCTAAGCGTTTTTCGCAGCATTTTGCAGAGAAGCAGTACAGTCCATTTAACATGATTTTCTACGGGACCTGTTCACATCTCCGCGTTTTCACCCAGTGCGTTTTTTTGGAAAGGGTCAGGGACTTTTTTGAATGAAAAAAGTGGCATTTTTGGCTCTATAGACTTCAATGGAAATGCTGCAGAAAATCATGTAGTGCGTTTTTGCCATGTTTTTGATACGTTTTGTATTTTAAATCTGCCTAGCAGCAAGAAAAGTAAAAAATAAATGAAGAAAAAAAAACCACATAAAAACACAGGTGCAAAAACACAAAACACAATGCAGAAACAGGTCAAACGCAATCTGCATAGGTGTGAACCTAGCCTTAGACATATTCATATCTAGGTGCCACTTAGACCCCATGCACACTGGGCTGTTAGCTGTGGGCATTGGGCACAAGTGTCCAGTTCTTCTGCTAGCAGCCTGTTAAACTCTATGAGAGGCTGACAGCTTCTGTGGCTGAACAGGGCACCTAGCTGTACAAACGCTTAGGGCAGTATGTGTCCGGGGACAAATGTCTAGAATGCAGAAAGTATGCATTTCAGTCATTCGTCCCTGGGTGCATGATGCCCAAAACAGACGCCTGTGCCCTCCCACCCACAGCTAAATGCCAAAGCTCCATGAAGCTGAGCTAAAGGACCAAAGTTCATGGGGCCAAGTATATTTTTTCCTGCTTTAACTTTTAGTTATTGCATCAATTTCTTATTGAATCAATATCTTCTATATACTATTCCTGTTGCAAGGTTTTTCCATATTCCTCTTTGGCTTGATACAGCACAAAACAATGCTTGTTGTTTTAAGATACACTCTAATTTTTATTTTTTTAGCATGCAGTTGTTGGGAATATTGCAAAACCACAAAAAGAAAACAGTTCTAACCCATAAAGCGTTGTCGCAGAAAACAAGGTTGCAAACAACTATTACAATTAGATATAAAGACAAAAAAAATGACCTTTTCCCATACTTCCTTCAATGAATAACATTAGATTTACAGAAAAAAAAACAAAAAATGCAAATAGCAGTGGTATTCAATTTATTATACCAAATACACAGAACAAACTGATTTCTCAATTATTCTCATGATTTACAACACACAGCAGCCCTCTTAATGAATAATTAAAATACAATAGCATTTGTATAGAAAATACAGTTTCTTAGAAAAGTTTAAAGTTACAAGAATTTTTATATCAGTTTTATTAATAAGTGAATAGAAAAACATTTGGTACAATAAACCCTTTATGTATAGAAAAGGTGATGACCAACAGCCATTAAACTTTGGTTAAAAAGAAATAAAATAATGTACATCAAAAAATGTTCTAACAATCTTTGGATTAGAACAAGTGTTATAAGAATTATAAAGAAAAGGAGAGTGGATACCTAATTTTTTTCAAACTTAACAGAAAAATCATACCAACTGTTACTTTTAAATATACCATAAAGTAAACCAGTATACCAATACCAATTTTAAAAAGTCTTGCCTATGAACAGATGTCACAGGTTGGCATTTTACATTTCATAGGCAGAGATACCTCTTTTTAGCTACTCCCTGATTTCAGTGTACTTCAATGTTATCTGATTTAGCCTGGTTTTGAGACTTAGCATAACTGTCTGCCATCTTGGTGGTGGCTATTGTGGCAGTCTTATTACACAATGGAATGGCAATTAGTAGGGCTAAGCCATCAATTCAGGCCTCACATTACAACATAAAACTAAATCCAAGAGAGGTACAGAATTGTTTTTGGTAATAGTGGACATCTTACGATGGCTCACTTTAAAGAAGTAGAACAGTGTGGTTCATTGAATTAGACTGACTTGAATTCGTTTGATTGGGGTGAGTTGTGTTCACTACAATTAAACCAGCTTCAAAAGCAGCTGTACCAGGTGCAAAATCGCAACAGATAGCATCATGGACTGCACATCTCTCCACCAAAACCCATCCTTACGTTAATCCCCGATGCAACTGATTTCTCCAGTCAGTCATAGAAATGAAAGGAGACTTTCACAGCTGTCTTGAAGCTTGAATGCCATATTACCTTCACACCCTTTTACAGATTAGCTGGTGTAATAACATATTAGTCCAACATTCAGAGATTTAAAAATAGGAGTTAAAATTTAAAGGAAAAAGGGTCCAAATTACACTCGGACACTTGCTGTCTTTGAGCTGTTATCACTTTCCATGTCCGTACTCATTTATGTAGCTAAGGTCTGTTTTTTGATTGTTCAAACTTACAACTATCATTACAATCATAAAGACAATTGAAAACAAAATAGAGAGAGAACGGTGGCGGCAATGTTTAAGGAACGGGCCGTGGAACTATAGCTGGTTGCAGCATTCACATCTCTCAGCAGCTTCCTGTCCCGGGACTATAAAAACAAGAAAATGAAAAATAAGATAATGACAAGGTAAAACAAGTCTTTAATTAGCTACAATAAGCAGGACACAGATTCGTATCATATTACAATAATCTGTACATACCAGCGGGTAAAATAAGTATTCAACATGACACCATTTTTCTCAGTAAATATATTTTTAAAGGTGCTATTGGCATAACATTTTTATCACATGTCAGTAACAAACCATGCAATCCATACATACAAAGAAACCAAAACAAATACGTTCAGAAATTAACCACTTGCCCTCCTGAGGATTTACCCCCCTTCCTGACCAGGCCATTTTTTGTGTTATGGCGCTGTGTTACTTTAACTGACAATTGCATGGTCACACAACACTGCATGCAAATTAAATTTACGTCCTTTTTTTCCCATGAATAGAGCTTTCTTTTGGTGGTATTTGATCACCTGTGCGGTTTTTATTTTTTGCACTATAGAAAAAAGACTGACAATTTTGAGAAAAAATATATATATTGGACTTTGTGCTATTAAACATGTCCAGTACAAAAATTTTAAAAATCAAATTTAGTCATAAATTTAGGCCAAAATGTATTCTGCTACATGTCTTTGCTAAAAAAAAAAATATCAATACGTGTAAATCAATTGATTTATGTGAAAGTTATAGTGTTTACAAATGGCGGCAATCAATGACTTTTAGTGGGACTACAGTGGACATTCTGACATTGGGGGGAATTGATTTGGTGCCACTGACATCCCCAGTGACACCAATACAGTGATCAGTGCTAAAAAAAAGCACTGACACTGTACTAATGGCACTGAGGAGGAAGGGGTTAACATGATGGGCGATCAAAGGGTTAACTGTGTTGTGTGCAGGGAGTGTTTTAGTAGGGGGCGGTGTCAGTGTGCTTCACTGTAATCACACTGCTCTGGATGGCTGTGCACAGCCACCCAGAGCAGTGTGCCCAAGCTGACAGGGAGGAGAACTGTTAGTAAACAAAACAGTCCTCCTCCCCCTCGGAGATGCTCGGTAATCACCGGGCGCCGGCGGGTAATGACCCAGTGATTGACAGCCGCAACCACAAATGGCGGTGCTGGTAGGGTGTGCGGCTCACGTGCCCCTTACCCGGAAATGCAAAATCACATATATATATATATATATGTATATCTGTATATCTGCTATAGGGCAGTGGGAAAGCGGTTAAGTTATGTGTAATATAATGGAGCGACACAGGGAAAAAAGTGAACACGCTAACTGAAATGTATTTCATGTATTTCATTTGTACAAAATCCTTTGTTGGTATTGACAGCGTCAAGACGCCTCCTGTATGCATTGCTCTGGTGTGTTTTTTGCCCATTCCTCCACACAAGCAGTCTTCAAATCTTGAAAATTCCATGGTCCTCTTCTATGAACTCTGATCTTTAGTTCTATCCATAGATGTTTTATTGGATTCAAGTCAGGTGGTTGGCTGGGACATTCTAGCAGCTTTACAGTATTCTCTCTCTTTGAAACCAATTGAGAATTTCTTTAGCTTTGAGTTTGGGATCATTGTCTTGCTGAAATGTCCACCCTTGTTTCATCTTCATCATCCTGGTAGATGGCAGCAGATTTTTATCAAGAATGATTTGGTACATTTTTCCATGCAACCTTCCTTCAAGGACATGACGTTTGCCATTACCGTATGTTGAAAAACAGCCCCACACCATGATGTTCCCACCTCCAAACTTCACTGTTGGTATAGGGTTTTTGAGGTGATGTGCAGTGCCATTTGACCTCCAAACATGGTGTGTATTATGGCATCCAAAGAGTTCAATTTTGGTCTCATCTGACCAGACTATATTCTCCCAGTATTTCACAGGCTTGTCTAAATGTTGTGCAGCAATTGTGTTTCAACATGCTTTTTCTTCAGCAATGAAGTCTTGCATGGTGACCGTGCATACAGGCCATGGCGGTTGAGTCCATTACTTATTGTTTTCTTTGAAACAATTGTACCTGCTAATTCCAGGTCCTTGGCTCTTGGGCAACTCTTCTGATAATTCTTTTCACTCCCCTGTCAGAAGTATTGTAAGGGGCACCTAGTCTTAGCCAGTTTATGGTGAAATGATGTTCTTTCCACTTCCAGATTATGGCCCCAACAGTGCTCACTGGAACATTCAGAAGTTTAAAAATCCTACTGTAACCAATGCCATTAGTATGTTTTGCAACAATAAGGTTGTGAAGTTCTTGAGAGAGCTCTTTGCTTTTACCCATCACAATATATTTCTTGTGTGACACCTTGGTAATGAGACACCTCTTTATAGGCCATCAATTGAGACTGAACCAGCTGATATTAATTTGCACTGACAAGGGGCAGGATTACTTTCTAATTACTGATAGATTTCAGCTGGTGTCTTGGCTTTCCATGCCTTTTTGCACCTCCCTTTCTTCAAGCGTTCAATACTTTTTCCCTGTGTCATTCCATTGAATTACACAACTTAATTTCTGAACTTATTTGTATTGGTTTCTCTGTATGTATGGATTGCATGAGTTGTTACAGACATGTGGTGAATATTTCATGTCAATAGCACCTTTAGAATCAGATACACCCAGAAAAATGGTGACGTGTTTAATACTTATTTTATCTGATATATATATATATATATATATATATATATATATATATATATATATATATATATATATACACACACACACACACACACACACACACATTTTCTTTGAGTATGCTTTTATACAAAACATAGTTGGTGCTTTTGCAAGGTGATCTTGTTATTTAGATTTACTTTATATTCAGCATGTGTTTTAGTCATATTTGTAAGCACTCGCAAAGAGTCAGGCACTGTTACTAGTTTCAAACTGGATGCATATGCATTTCCAAAGAGTAAAATAACTGCATAGGACACACACATCACGCATACATATTGTCTCTCTACACATACTAGTCTATTTGTTTTGCTTGGTGTTCCCCTTCTCCAGCCAAGTCTGAATGGCCTTATAATGTGGAGGTTGACAGGACAGTAACTGATCAGATCATGGCCATACACTAATAGGTTTAGGATTGGACATTTGTACAAACATTTATATGAAAACGTTCATAAGTACATTCGATGACTTGATGAATGTCATTTAAAAGTACAAAATGTTGTTTGCTTTTAGCTTTTAGAATGAATAGAATTTCCTCAAACAAAAAACAACATTCCCTTTTGGAAATTTGTTTTCAAGAAAAGGAAAATTCCATCATGCTCCTTTGAATTTTCTCGTAACTAGGTTTGAAAACGAATGTCGTTTTGACCCCACAAATGATTAGTAAATCAAACAAACGTCCTGCAAACAAAAATGATCAAACCAAATTCTAATAGTGTATGGCCAGCTTTTCTCTCTTGCCATTGATTGGGCACTGATGATGTAAAACCTGCGTATGTGCAAATGCTGAAAAGGGGCTTGGAGTGTACACTACACTGAACATGCGCTATATACAGTGTACAGTAAAAAAAAGATTTGCTGTGAGACAGAGGAAAGTTTTTTGGAAACGTTGCAATGTTTTTTTTAACAGCATGGTTCCACTTTAAAATAATCCTTGGCTCTTTCTCCCTGCTGCTTTCAATCTCTCCTTGCCATGACAGATTTACCAGCTCTCCCTGCATTCCTTCAACCTAGGAAGTTCTCAGCCCCTCTGTGCTGACATTTAACACTTTCTTGAATGAAAAACGGATTTAGAAAACAAACTATCCAGAGGCTTAATCAAACTCTCAGTGTAAACAGTAAAAAAAACTGTGAATAACACCAAATTGCGCTAGATGCAACAAATATATAAATTAAATTGATTGAATTAAATCATGTGTAAATATTGCACATCCCTTCCTGCCACTATATACATAAATCCAAAATTAATATTAAACCCACAGTGATTATGTGAAAAAGTGGTGCACACACAATTCACAGTGCTAAACTAATCATACAAAAAATAAAATTTAAACATACTCTCCCAGACATAATAATATATATACTGAAATCAACTTCCAGTTTTTGTTTTATATTTTCACTGGAAGTTGATTTCAGTATATATATTATTATGTAAGGTGGAATATGTTTAAATTTAAATTTTCTTTGATTAGTTTAGCACTGTGTAGTGTGTGCGCCACTTTTTCACATTATCCAAAGGTGTTGCTAGATAATTTTTCATGGCAAATAAGCGGATTTATATGTTTATAGTAAAAGAGTGCCCATATTAGTGTGTGAGTGATCCTGATGTACTCCTACAGCAAAGCTGTTTATAGAGAAAGTGATTAAATCACATTAAGCACACACTAAGTTGGAGTGTTGAATGTGTATGTAACGCTACCCTCATGAGAGCCGCTGTGTTTTGGGTATCCCTAAGCCTCTCTCCGCACAGCCAGGCAACAGATATTTCTTGCACCAACTTGCAGCCAAAGACAATGATCAGTCCATGGCTTGGTTTTGTTATTTTATTGGATGCCCAGTTTGGCTTGAAACAATAGAAGGAGGGCACTTCCCTTCTATGTACAAAGGCAGATCCTGGACTGTTCTTTTCCTGAAAGTCGTCAGTCGTTATGGATCAGTAGAAGCTTCATTTTACGGGTGAGGAACAAGTAGCCCCTCAAATATCACTTTACTTCTCATAGCTACATGCAGAGATGTCTTCTCTCCCCTTATAGAGCTGCTCCCAGCTCCACAGCCTGCAAGCACTACCAACCCTCCTGGCTTCTCAGAAGATCTCCTGGGACAAGGATAACAGATTGAACCCAGCGCTGTCCTTGGAAAGCTTGCTACATTTGGCAGTGTTTCGCCTTGTAGATCTCAAAGTGTGTTGCTGTACTCACACTGTCCTCCTTGCTCCCTACTGCTCCAGGCCTTGATCGTATCCAAGCCTCTCCACAGAATGTATCCTCCTGAGCCAGCCTGAGCCCAGCCTAGAGGCCACCCTCCCCCAGACCTAGGGGACCTCTCTTATGCACCAGCAGTCTCCTCAGCACTCCATCTTCCACCCGTCTCCCCTGTCAGCCTGACCCTCTTATATTTATAGGCCAGTCCACCACTCTACCAGGGCCTCCAAACCTGGGACTGGCTGGACCCCTCATGAATATATAGATTAGGCCTCCACCCCTTGCTTCTTACTGACTTCCGGAAGGTTCTATTATCCTCCAGAGCCATAACCTGTTGAGTCATCCAGCTAACCTGCAATAACCCGACCTCAATCACATGACTCACACAACTACCATGAGTCACCCACAATGATTTTGCCTATAATACTCTACACTATTCAAGTAGCACACTAGAGGGTGCTACAGGTGAGATAGAAATTTTAATGTAATAAGTTTGCTTAAATACAACACTAACACCAGGCACTGAGGTCTACTGGGCAGTTTCTTGGCATAAACTGAACAAAGTAGTTACATGTCAGGAGGGAAAGGGGGTTTCTATGGATCTAATCTTTACTACAAGGCAATTTACAGGGCAGTATTCCAGTTTTGATTAAATTATGCTAAATCACCTATTCGATTTTAGATTTTGGGAAACTCCACTTACAAAGTTTTTTGAAAAGACTAAAACCTAGTACAATGAGAATATCGGACGAATGATTGTCTGTTTTTTATTTTGCATGCTAGTCTCATATCGAAAATGAAGAGGTTAATAAAATTATGAAAATTCTTGTAAGGCAAAATACAACTTCAGAAGTGATGTGATGTATCATATTGTATTGTAACGTATTCTTTTTTAATGCGTTTTTTTCCCATACAAATACTATACTAATCACATCAAAATCATTTGTTTTGTTATGAGAAAACTTTTTGAGCTTGTCTCTTCAGATATTTTTGTATGAACTGTCATGATCAGCTCTGGAAAGCTGTGTACTAATGATCAGATTAGCAGGGTTTTTTTGTTTTGTTTTCCATTATTCTTATTGTGTATACTAGGTTTTACTATACATCCATCCTTCCTCTCCCTTCACCTTATCCTTCCTGGCAATGAACTTTTCCTCATTGTGTTTCAATAATGCTAAATAAACTATAAAGTCTGATTACACAATAATGACCTTGGTGGGTGGGAAGTGCTGGGAACAATCTTTCAGGAAAACATGTTCTGAATTGTCAGTGAACAATTCATCACACTGGCATCTGCCCAAAACTGAATGCCAACTAACCTTTTAAGGCCTCATGCACATGAGCATTGTTTAATCTCAGCTTATCTGTTGCTGAATTCTATAAAAATAAAACTTGTTTAAAGAGACCCTGTCCCTGTACTAATAATATCAGCAACAATCTTCCCATAAGATTATAAAGCAGATGAAATAGTTTTCTGCATTTAACCTCCCTGTAATTGTTCATGATATTATTATATTAAAAAGGCCTGAGACTTCTGCTGAGCTCCACCATCTTGGTTTAGACATCAGTTAGCCCCATGTAGAATCAGAGCTGTCAGTCAGACGATACTCCATAATCATACCCAGCTATAGTTTATTTATGTTTGAGGCTCCCTAAGCAGCCAGATGGGGAGAGGCAGGAGCAGGGGATGTCACAGACGGGAAATTACTTTTCGAGGAAGTGGCCAGAATCCTACTAAAGTTTCATGGGTCAAAACAGGCGAAAAACATTTTTATCTTATAAGTAGGGAAACATGTATGCGGTTATTATCCTCTACTGCTGTCAGGTTTTCATTTAAATCTGGTGATAGGTTCTCTTTAAAGTTACATTCAGCACGCTCATTAAAATATGAACTGAGTGTGTATAAATACAATCTGAAGTTGAGGGAAGCTTTAGGAGTTCCAAGAAGGCTGACTGAAGCATGCTTTAAATTTAACTAAAGGCAATTCTTTTTTTCCATTTTGGATAGAGTAAGAGCGGGCAATAACCCTTTTTTTTTCCATCTGCATCCCATTGGGGGAATTTCTCCTAACTTCCCGTTCCATGATCAAAACAGGAAGTGAGAGGAAATCCCTCCAAAGTGAGGGAATCCATGATTGACACAGGGGTTACCAGTATTAATGTTCCCATTGGAAGAACACCCAAATTTTGGGATTTTCTTTCACTTTTGGTGATAATGGTCACCAGAACAAATAAAGAGGGTAAATCTTCCTTACGGGAATCAGACAGCAATAAAAATTTGGCAAGTGTTCTAGTCTCTCTGCACTCCATCTGAAGCTAAAAAAATGTGCCTTTAATTATACTTTACATTTTTGGAAGCTTTTAAAAGCTACATCACCAAAATATCAACCAAACTGTGCTCTTCGATCCTCCCAAGAATTTCTGCTCTCTAGTTCCCGTGTCACCTCCTCCCATGCTCACCTCCAGAGCTTCTCCCAAACTTCTCCCATCCTATGGAACTCCCTACCCCAATCTGTCCGGCTGTCTCCTAATCTATCCACCTTTAGTTGATCCCTGAAAACCTCTCTTTAAAGAAGCCTATCCTGCTTCTACCCAGTAAACCACCATTTATTTCCTCAATCAGCTCATCCCCCCACAGCTATTACCTTTTGTATCACTGAACCCTTCCTCCTAGATTGTAAGCTCTAACGAGCAGGGCCCTCTGTTTCCTCTTGTACCAAATTGTATTGTAACTGTAATGTCTACCTTCATTTTGTAAAGCGCTGTGCAAACTGTTAGCACTATATAGATCCTGTATTATAATAATAATACTAATAATAGGAATTTGAAATACTCATGTAGAAGGTTTGCTATAGAGGGTCAGAGAGATAGGCAGTATATTTGTCCTTTGAGTTTTTTTTTAGATCTGGAACCACCATGATCCTCGCACAATATTACGCCCATGCAGTACTTTACTTTTCATGCCTAATCAAAAGGAAATTTCCTAACAGGCTGGAAGCTCTCCTTCTTTGAAAAGTGTTTCTGACTACCAGGTACCTAGGATTTAATATATGTCCCATTTATCAAAGTTGTGTTTAAAATTGAACTTCCTAACATCGAGTCATTTATGGCCAAGGATAACACTATCTACAGGGTGTCCTAAAAGTCTACATAAATAGGGCACCACCTCATAATGGTGTCAGCATACAGCGATTGTTGGATCAACAGTTTTAAAGTTCATGGATTGCTTGCTACAGCCCTGTGGAATGGCCTACAAAATCTCCTGATCTTTCCCCACTTAACTTTTATTTGTGGGGCACTTAAAAGTCATGGTGTAAAGCAAAATATTAGAAATATGGATCATTTAAAGGAATGCATTCAAAATGCAATTACTTGCATAACAACAGATATCTTGGAACATGTTCACCATGAGTGGAGGAGAAAGCTTTGTGTGTGAAGAGAGAGAGGTGGCCAACATATAGAGAACATTTTGTAAAAAATTTTAAGAATATTTTGTAAATGAAGGTACACTTAGCTACAATTTCCCATTTTCAATATGTATGGTGACTTTTGGGACACCCTGAAGTTACTTTACAGCCTAAACACCATCCAAAAAAAATATAAAGTATTGTAAAGTATAACTACATGGTCTTTTTATATGACACTATAAATTTTGAGAAACTACAGAAGACCTTTAGACTTTAGGTAGTCTCACTTAGCGATGCAAATGTTTTCCTTGTTTCTTTAATTGTTGTAACTGAATCTCATTGTGTTCAGCTGCTTAGAGAAGTAGGTTTTCTGTTGATGTAGGTATCCATTGCTGCGCAGGGACCTAAAGCTTATGTTTTTTATGGACTAGTTACTGCTGTATGACTAATTTGTCTGCATTTTGAGTTTGGTGGAAAATATCCTAAATAAAAAGATGATTTTTTCCTGAAGAAAACATTTATTATGATTTATAACTCAGTTTAATCAGAATGCTGATTTGTTAAGCTTTAAAGCAACAATAACCAAATCTGTTTCAGCACAATGTGAACAAAACAACAACTTTTACAATTTTGGCTTGAAGCCTGAAGACTCCATCTTACCTTGACGGAAAATATAAGGGCGAGAGGAATCCGAGGCAGCAGAAGTTCATATACATGGCATTGAAGAGCGACCAGATAATGTGATCTCGGACAGGGGGCTCCTCTGGCATTATTGTCACCACAGTTGATTGGAAGTGCTGCATCGGTTGATTCTGAGTCTCCATCTCTTCTTTCAGCTGCTCATAGCCACGCTCGCTGTACTTAGGTGGAGAGCCAAATTCACAGTTGTAATTGTTGCTTTCCATCGTCCCTGGATAGCAGAGGAAAGAATAGAAGACTGTCTGCAGAGCTCTGTTGAGAAAAGTGTTTGTGGAAAACTAGAGAGGATTTAGTAATGTTAGCTGGTGGGAGGGAAAGGAGGAGTCTGCTAGGAAAGTTTCATTTCTCTCCCACGTTCCCAACTCAAGAAAAAAAAAAAAAAAGAATGTGACTAGAGTTAGGAAAGTAAGAGGAAATAAGAGTACACTATTAAAGAGATACTTTAAAACATGTCTGGCTGGTTCAAAATGAGATTAAGTACTAGGTTAATGAAAATGTCTCTTAATGTAAAGATATAAGCTGTGTACATTGATCTAAGCCTGAATACAGGATGGCTTGCTGCAGATACAGCCTGATGGCCACATCCTGTAATCACATACGGTGTATTTCAACATATAGTATAGTAAATCATTTGATGGCCTGGGTCATTACTCATTCTTGTGCCTAGTGAGGTTATACTGATAACAGCTATAAAGGATATGAAAGTTACGTAACAAAATTCTGCAAAATTGTTTGTTTTTGAGACATTCATAGGTATCTGAATCACAATAGTCACGAATTTGATCAAAATTGGAAATAATTTCTAACAAAACAAGAAAATGAATTTGTTTCATTCAGACATTTTCTTAATGATTGAAGCATCTGAAATAACGTAATGACCTAACAAATTGATTCACATCCATTTAATTTTAATGTTGCATTAACATTTTCTTTTTTATAAAAAAATGCTCTACTTATGAAATGGAAACATATTGCAATAAATACAGTAAGGTATTAAAGTGAAATAAGATGATGATTCCTACTTAGGCTACTTTCACACCACTACATTGCAAAAACATGGCAAAAAAGTATATGCATTTTTGCTGAGGTGTGTTGTGTTTTTAATGCGTTTTTGCAGCGTTTGTATTGTGTTTTTACCTCTGGACATGTGACTGGACAAAAGCAACGCAAACACATCAAAAACACAATGCACCGCAGCAAAAAGTGGCAAAAATGCAGCAAAAACACATGCATTGTTTTTTTATTCTCTTTATTGAAGTTTTTGCAAAAGTAAACAGTACAAAACAGAACCTCTGGGCATTCCCCGGCTCAAGTAGAAAAACAAGCAATACAACAAAAAAAAATAACAAACATAACGGCTTACTCTCACCAGCTAACTAATAACCTAAGATCTGTATAAATTGTAAGGAATTATGAGTCTCAGCGTACATAGGATAAGAGAAGGGAAATAGATAGGGGGAACCCTGAAATCGCCACTGAACTCCCTGAGGAGTAGACCAGAGGTACAATGATTACATTAAGGGTTATAAGGAGAAGAGGGCAAATGGGAAGCAGCTTGACCACAGTTAGCTCAGTTACCCAAAATTAGTTGCCACTGTTGAGGAGGATTCTAACCAGACAGCCCAAATTTTATTGAACTTCTGCTGGAGTACTTCCTTGTACATCCCCTGGAGATATATGTCAGCTTGTAGTAGGGCACCACAGAATTCACCAGCGTCTTCAAAAAGTTTAATGAGGGAGCCTGGACCTTCTTCCATTGTAACACAATGGTCTTTCTGGCATAGAAGAGTAATATATCCTAGATTGTAAGCTCCGAGGAGCAGGGCCCTCCTATGCCTCTTGTATTGAACTGTATTGTTGCTGTATTGTCTCCCATTATATTGTAAAGCGCTGCGCAAACTGTTGGCACTATATAAATCCTGTATAATAATAATAGACCAAAAAGCGTCCTAACATCTCTAGTATGTGCCAATAGATTGACTAGGCAAGAGACACACATCCACTGATTGGGGAATAGGAATGGTAGTCAGATAGCGAATGAACTCTGTGATGTCCCTCCAGAAGGCAGAGATGTGGGAACAGTGCCAAAAAATGTGATAGAAATCTGCGGCCATACCACATCGCCATCAATCAGATGTTGTCCCAGGAAACATTCTATGAAGCCTATCCGGTGTTAAATATGACATATGTAAGATTTTAAACTGTATTAATTTGTCTCTGGTAGCCACTAGTTCTGTGACAGGGTAATCCCAGGCATCCTCGCAATCCTCCCCACCAAACTCACCAATCTCCATCCGCCACTTCATCAGCAGGGAGTGTAGACCCACATGAATCGTAGGTAGCATTGCCTTGTAGATAGATGACAATGGATTCTTAACGGATGGATCCCAAAGGAGGGACTCCAGATCATCTGTCAACAGATGAATTGGTTCCGCTCCAAATTGTGAGCAGAAGGCATGGTGGAGTTGGAGAAACCGGAAGAAGTGACAACTGGGAAGATCATATTTGAGTTTCAAGCAACGAGCCTCTGTCACATATGTTCTCTAAATATTTAATACCTCTTGAGGCCAAGACCTTAGGATCTGGGTAAGTCTCAAATTCAGGCAGGTTAGGGTTTTACCACAAGGGTGTGTGAAGACCAGAAGGCAGAGGCCGAAGCGGCCCGGGGCATGACCGTAAACCAGGGGGGAAGAGGTGGAAATACAGCTCTCACTCCCTGATATAGTAAAGTCCTAAGTGCCTCATAAGAGCCAGCATAGGCCGCTTAAGAACAACTGAGGAGTTGGTGTCATCAGAAATTAGCCAATTATTGGCATGAGTAAGTAGAACAGCTACAAAGTACATGTACAAATCTGGACATGCCAAGCCACCTTGGGTCCATGGCCTACAAAGAATCTGTTTGCTAAATTTAGGTGGTCAGGACTGCCAAACTAAGGAACCAATAAGGGAGTGAAAATGGTTGAAAAAAAAATTTTGGTATCCATACAGGAAGTGTCTGAGCACATATAAGAGCACGGGAAGCACTTTCGTTTTGATCAAATTGATCCTGCCAATAACATTTGATGTAAGACTATTCCATGCCTTCAGCCTCTGCCTAATGGTCTGAACCAGCGGGTGCAAATTAAATAGGCAATAGTCACAAACCCTAGTGGAAATAGCGATGCCTAAACAGGGTATCGATGATACCCATTTTAACATGTGAGCCGGGTCCGCCGTTCCCTGAGCTTCAGGGTCTGTAGGAAGGATTTGAGACTTTTCCCAGTTAGTGTGTAGACTAGAGATTTTAGCAAATGAAGACAGGATGTTCAGGGCAGCAGAGAGAGATGGACACAGGTTGTTAAGAAATAGTAACAGATCATCAGCATACAGAATTAACTTCTCAGTGATTGATCCAACTATAATGCCAGTCACATTATCAGCCTGTGTCAAGGCTGCCGCCAAAGGCTCCATGGCCAACGCAAACAGGGCAGGGGATAGGGGGCACCCCTGCCCCATACCACGCTTAACAGGTAAGGGAGAAGACAGAGCTCCCCCCCCAACCTAATACAAGCCACCAGAGTTTTATATAGTACATGGAACCATCTGCATAAAAACGGGCCAAATCCGAACGCTTCTAGAACCAGATCCAGGTGTCACAGATCCACGGTCGCCGCCACCAACAGGCGTCAATCGCACTACCGCGACTAAAAGTAATACGTCACGCCCACGGCGTCAGACCCCAGACCTTCTCACCAAACTCGTGACCGAAGGACCGGCCGATCTAAAACCGCGATGTGATGCGCGTAACAAGGCCCCACCCAGCTGCACCCTGCACAGTGATTGTCCAGCTAATGGGCTACAATCGGTGCCTGCAGCCTGAATGCGCTTGTTACTGGGTCGGGTTAATTACGCAACTAACCCTCTACTGCCACCACCACTTTTGTCGGGGACTGGGAAACTCCCGTTATCAAATATACACTATAATGATTGAAATATTGATCTATATAGCACGGCCCGTGGACCTGTTATACAGAGATATACCAAACAGCAGCGTCTCTTCAAAGGCAGGGATTCGTGAATTGCAGGTAAGCGCTTAGAAACAGTTTAACACTTTCAGAAAGAAAGATTTATTACTAAAAGGGTCAAAACAGGTGCAATACAATATTTACAAAGAGATGTCACAAAAAATATATATATATGTATATAAAGACACAGCAAGGAGATAATTAGGAAGAAGATTACAGGGTTAAGTTACTTGCCCATATGCCTGGGTTTGCAGAGCAGGGTGAGTTCTTGATCTCCTTTTGTTACGATGTTGCTGGGAGATCTGTGTGTGACAAGCTCTAACTCACTTGTGTCTTCTTAAAAGTCCCTCTCAAAGGGGAGGGGGGCTCTTACTACACGTTTTGGGAGTGGTCAGTGGGAAACTCTGTATTAACTATTGTAGTGGATGTAGCCTCATAATACATGACATGAAACAAACAGTTGACCTGAGGAATGTGCAATTACTCTGGTCAGTTGGATAATGTGTGGGCTTACGCCGTTTTGGGTCAATGCTTCCCAGCCCTCTGAGAAATGCTGCCTTATCAGACGTAGGTGAGAAAGGTGACAGTTCTCCCAGACAACTGGTCCCACCAGGAATGTTTCTCCTGGGCTGACCCCCACCATCTGTCAGGAGATAACGTTGGTCTCTCAGGACTGGAAAGGGGGGATGTGAGGAATGATCCAGGAATACCTCAAATAACAGAGAGGAAAAGAAGAATTCTGCTTCCAGCTCAGATGAGCTAGTTTGTTACACAAAAAGAAGGTTGAAGGAGAACTCTACTCCAACTCGGATGAGCTAGTTTGTTACACCAGGTAATATCAGCCAACCGAATCAAAGGCTTTTTATATATCTAGTGCCAACAAGACTCTGGTAGCCCATCAGCAGTGAGTGGACCCAGCAGTGTGTCAAGGTCCTACCTTTTCCCAGAGGTTATGTTACTCCATGTGCTGGCATCCATCTTGGAGGGATTTCTGCTGAGCATGATGGGAATCTTTTATGCCCTCAGGTCTCTGAGGTCCATCCCCCAGAGGGGTGTGGCTGAGTACATATAAGCCTGGGATCTGCACATGCTCTTTGCACTTGTGTCTTGTGTCTTTGTCTTGCTACAGCTCTGTGTATACGCTCGTGACTCTTCTGGTATTCTGACTCGGCTTGTGACTAAGACCATTCTCTGTGTTTCCC